AAACTGCCTGGACTGCCATTTTATTACTCATGCTGACATTCAATTTTTTCTATTTTGGGAGGCCGGTTTTGCAATAAACTGCGTGTAGTGCCGGATAATTCTAATCTACTGTGTGTCATTGGCAACAGACACAAGAGGCAGCGCTCACGTCAAAATAAGAAATTTAACATGATGTTGGTTGCATGACAATACTAAAAGCAAGATAAGAGCAACGGTTTGATTTTATCTATTAATAGTTAAGGCCATTAATCCCGCAAATTGCCAAACATTGACTTTTTATATCAATATAAACTAACTTTGGGCCTTTTGTTGGACGACATGAAGCACATTCTTCTCTACTTTGTCACCAATTTTTTTCCTGCAAAGTACGCAATAAATTCATAATAAATGGACCATTACCTCCTCACCTCACTTCAGCCTGTGCCGCACGAGAGTCAATAGTGGCTGCATTTACAGTTTGTATTCTGTCGTTCATCTGTTAGGAATGCTCAATAGCAAACAGTTGAGTTCTTGCAAGGAACTTCAAGGATCTTCTGCTGAGGACAGACGGGTAAACTGCTGAGGGAACAGAAAGAAGGCCCGGAGTGGAGCCCGCAGAGGACGGCTGTCCCGCGATGACCTTTGATTTGTTCTCCGTGGCTCCGATAGCTGGAGGCCGAAGAGTAGATTACATGATCCATTTCTGTCAAGAGGCGCGCGCCTAAATCACGCGCCTGTCCCGCCTGAAGGTGGGATTGAGGCCGCGTTTATTCTGACGGCGCTTCGTGATTTGTATTGCGTTTGTGTCGCCTTGATTGATGCTTCTTGATGTAAATTCAATGGGCCTGTGTTTCTACCAATACTGTACTGGACCACAGAGAGAAAAGCATGGGGTTCACTTTTCTATCCATCCACCGATTATCTTCATTTTAATATCATAATTTTACTTAATGACCATATCCTGTTGTCTTTACAAGAGGGGAGATGTTTAGTCACTGGATGTTGATTCCACCATCTGCAGTTATCACAACTGTCGCCAGCAAATTTAATCATCCGTAGCTCGTTAACCTCTATGAGTCAGACAGAACCGCACAAACCACAATGTCGATCAGGACTGTTTGTGTTATTCATTTTCAAGCCTCGAAAACGTCCCATTTGTGCACCTTTTCCCAAAGAGCAAAGCAGTAACTTTACAAGCATGACAGCATTTCAGATGGAAGCCTTCAGGAGTTATTTTTAGAAAACGAGTCAGGATATATTGTATTTAACGAATAATAAATAAACCACGGACAGCTGAGGAAGCGCAGGAGACCGATGGGCGGGACGTCCAAGGATTCTGAGGCCATTAAAAAATAAAATTCTATTGTATGCGTTTCGAACTAAAAGTGTTAGCGTTTCTTCTTACATAGTAATATAGGCCTTTGTCGTGGCGCCTGCGGCTCTGCTTCTGCAGCTTCGAGCCGGCTAACGTGCGCTAACGTCCGTTAGCTAGCCGGGAAGCGGCAACAACGCCAACGCCATCTTAGTTTAGCATGTTATTACAAATGTTATCGCGCTTTAACTAATAATTGTTCAGGTTTCACTGATGAAACAAATTCCTCAACTAAAAAAAAAAAGAAAAGCAGCGAGCTGAAAAGAGGAAAGCAGCCGCGTGTGAGGAGGCAGACGAGAAGAGAAAAAGAGTAAAAGCACAGCTAATCTGAGAAAACGCCGGCCTTCTGCGCTCGACTTTATTCTCCTCAGCTCCGCCCGTCGGATATTAAATTGCCTCTCAGCTCCTCTGTTTGCTCCCTCTCATTGAAGAACAAGTGCATTCTGCTTTATGTTTTTATTTTTATTTTTTAAAAGGGTCTCACTCCCTATGGAATTTTTTTTTTCTTGCCCCAAATTAGCAAGAGACAGAATCACATCGCAGAATGGAGAAGAGTTCGTCCTTTCCAGGAATTCTCCTCCGGTGTCTCACGTCGGATGTTTCTCAGCATGTAGGCTGCACTCATGTTATGCAAATTCATCAGAGTCCCGTGTGTAGCTTCAATCCATAAAGTACAGTGGAAACATCATGAACTTTCTCCCTCTCCCTCTCTCTCTCTGGGTCGCCCTCACTCCCTCGCTCGCTGATCCAGCTGCTATTTTGGCAACGGAGCAAAGAAATAAATGAAGTGCTTCAGCGGAAGGAAGGCTTCACTAGAGGGATTGCGGGGGGCGGCGCGGGGGGGGATTTGGTAGGAGGTTTTAAAAGACATTTTATTTAAATTAGTGTTTTATTTGGGCTTAAAACATCAGGGACATTAGGCTTAGCGCTACAACGGTCCAATCATGCTTCCAATGGCTATTGGTTTAATCAAACTGAGGCCTTGGATGATTTTTCTTTTAATGCTATTTCATGAATTCTCTGAGTTTGAAAAAGGACTATTTCTATAAACCAGAAAGAAAATCCCATACATCCTTCTGTAGATCTGTTGAATAGAAAAGTAGACTTGGGGCTTGGCTGAAGATAAACTAAAATGGCGGAACCGAGCGGCAGCTTCTTTGCCATTCATTTGAATATTGAGGATGTAATATGGCCTGTAATGAAAAAGGTGGGAAGAAATATTTAGCAAATAAGAAGCTCGTAGCTCTCGAATTGCCTTTTTACAGGAGGATGGGGGGGTGGGGAGGGGGGGTCACCTGCGGGACTTCTTCTTGAGCACGCTCATCAAAGCTCCTTTCCCAAAAAGTATTTCTTTAAATAGCATTGCGGAGGACGCGCGATTTTGTGCTTTTTATGAAGCGGTGAGAGCGGAGACGTGGCAGGGAGAGGAACGGGACGAGGAGGGCAAAGCCGGATTGAAAACCAGGAACACGGTTCATCATCGGCGGCTTAGCTCCTCTCGAGGTAGCGCGTCCAAAATGAGCAGATAGGGAGTCGACCTAGAAACGGCACGACGCGGTGCCGCGTGCACTGTTCACATTCCCAAAGAATTATGTACCCCATCAACCGATTTCCTTTGTTGACGCTCACTGCGTAGCGGTCAGTTAGCACGACGCGTAATGGACTTAATCAAATGGACATTGAAATGGTTCGAAGCGGCCCAGTTGCCAAAATTTGCCAAAAGGTGGTATACGCAACCAAGTGACGTGGTATGAAGACGTGTATAGCAGGTGAGAAAGTCCACTGAGGAGAGATGAGGGTGGGTGGGACGGGGACAAGGGGACGGGGCGGGTAAGTCAAATCAAACTCACTCCCCTGTCAAAGCACATCATGGCACGTGGCGTGAGACGGTCCGCTGAGGGCAGCTTCTACGTCTTCGTTCTACTTGCGTTCTAACGTGTGCTTCTCCTAACTTGACCCAGAGGTCACCCGGGGTCGGTTCACATGCCAGTGAACCCCCGACCTGTTAACACGGACATTGTGCGTGCGGTTACTATGCGGATTAACTACACCAAAGTTATTTATTCCTATCGTCAAGACATATAAAGCATTTGCCACGTTATTTCTGTTTGTCGCATATCTGCATGCATGCATTCCGTTAAAACGTACGGCTGCGTGCTCAAGGATGTCTCGCGTTTGCAGCGACTGCACCCTGACTCCTCACGTACTGCAACGCTAAGAAGACCGCTGAACACGCTGACTTTTGATGTTTGGTACGGTGTGTTTTGGACGATCAGCTAAATGAACCGCCGGCGTTCCACAACAAGATGCTAATGACATTAGACTCAAGGGCTAAAGAGCACACGAGATAAGCAAACCAACCAAACATTAATGTTATATTTAGGTTGCTGACTAGAATTCAGCCATCTCTAAGAAAGAAACACTGTGTTTCTGATGACCAGGAGATACAGAAAGAGCCAGAAACTGGTCCTGGAGTTGAGATTACTTTGACAAGAGGTAAACTTTCAACCAGGCTGCATTCAAGTACACGAGAGGCACCTGAATACACCACAACGTGTTCATTGTTAACTCTGATAAGTGGGGTTTATTAATGATAACCCTGTTAACTCAAAATAATTGATGTGCATTTTCAAGTTTAAATACCAAACATTGGCTTATTGCAAACTACAAAACGGTTTTGAATTTGAAATCGGTCAAAAGAAGTTATTTAAAGAAAACATCTGTGGCTCGAGGACAGTGTGATGGCCGATTTCTCCCTACTTTACTCCTAACAGAATAAATATGTATGATAACAAACAGATGAATCAATACTGACAATAACCCTGACATGTCACCGTACAAAATAAGAAAGTTAGTGTCCAAAGTCAAAAACAAAAATGTTATGTGCAATACAGCATAAAAAAACAAAACGCCAAGGGCCTCCACACTGGAGAACTTAGTTACATCACAAAGCGACGTACTTCCAGTCCACTCGCTCCTTTATCCTCCACGGCCCTAAAGAGATGCTGTGTCATAAATGAGAGCGACGTCAGATTGGATTAAGGTCTAGGTACAGAGCTTCTGTGTAAACGCCTGGTTAAGTTAAGCTTCATGATGGAGAAGCCCCCATCCTCCTCCTCCTCCTCCTCCTCATCCTCTTCCCTCTCATTTCCCTAGTGCAACGCTGGCTGTGCACACTTTGTTCTTAGTGTGCTTTCACCAGACCACGAGACAAGAGGTGCTGCCGTTCAGATGCCGCGGCTGCACACGTTGCATCCTCCCTTCAGATCCGGGGCGGACCGGACCACCAACATTTCGAGAGCTGTTGTCAAAAAGTGGATTTTAAAAAGCTCTAAAAAACTGTAAATCAAACGCAAACTGCACGGCTGGATGTGTGTGTGTGTGTGTGTTACAGTAGAAGCACAGTGCAGGGAGGCTGGGTGAAGCCCAGCATGGCGGGTGTAAAGATGCTGCTAGTTGATGGAAACGTGCATGATAACAAAAGACGGTAGGAGGGATGGTGGAGGGGCGATATTATTTCGCGTAAGTCGCAGAAGCAGAAGCAGAAGGTTGCAGAGTGCGTGCAGGACGCCTGGGTGGAAACAAAGGAAAAGCGAGCATGCGATGCTGGTGGACACAATGCATCCCAGGAAGCGCGCAGGGCACCTACCTTAAGGACTTTTATGTGGGCATCTTCTCGATGATCCCCGGTGATTTCATTCAGCCGAGGACGGGAAGGGGGGGTGGGGGGGTAACGAGAAGAAAAAAAACTGCGAAAAGAGTATTTAGGTTGCCAGAAATGCTTGTAGAAAAATAAAAATAAAAATAAAAATGAAAGAACTAAACGCTGGAGGCTGAGCCCCAGCCGGCTGTGCAGGCGATGACTAAAGCGTGATATTCTTCGGGTTTCCACAGACAGGCTGTGATGTCTCCTCTGCATCAGCAGCAAAGCCTCCTCATGTCGGGCAGCACAACGAGCGCCAGACGCGAAGCGGAACCCGAAAACGGGATTCTAGCGCGATCCGGTGAGCGCGGTGAAGCTTTCCTCCCGGTCCTCCGCCATCCCGCTGTGTTTTGGAGAGGAGGACGAGGAGGCGAGGAGAAAGGATGCTCTCGGGCTGAGGCAGCGAGCAGGATCCTTCGTTCCTGCTGTCTACGGAAGCCCGGATGCGCCAAAAAAAAGAAGGCAATTTTATTTTGGTTCCTTGCTCAGATGTTGATTTTTTTTATATAAGCTCATTTCTGACCGCGAAATCCTCACACGAAACAAACGGGGAATTATTGTTCTTTTAAAACACATTGTTTTTTTTATCGCACTCTCGTTTTAAAAATGTGTCGTTTGTGGTTTCTTTCTTATACCAAAGTAGGCGAGTGATTGATCACTAGTCTCAATAAATACAGTATTAGTCTTCTCTATTGGTTTATAATAGTGCCCCATAGAGAGTATGGTATTAATTCACATGTGTATACAAATAATTGCATTAATATTTGACTTTAAATAAAAAGGAAAGGCCAATACAGTGACATCTGAATATAGAACGTTTCGGTTGGGTTCATTTTTATTATTATTAAAGGGTTATTTTATAGGTTTCTCTGACATTACAGTACTGGCTCCCTGTTACTTTTTGTTCCTTGACTAATAGAAATTGGATTTACGGTATTGGTTGAATTTTTCATTGGATTTGTCAGTTAAACTTAAGATTATGTTGATAGTTTCTTCTGTATGCTCTTTTTTTTACCAGCCATTGGCCTATAAAGCATCTGGCATCACAATGATACTGACAAATATGGTGTTTATTACTGGAGGTTATGAGATCTTCAGCACTGCAAAAGAACAATAATATATTTGAGAACCATAATGATCACGTTGAATAATTCTTAGCTGATGCTGTGTTGTTTCATTAAAATTCCCATTATAAACAAGTTCATTGAATTAACATTGTGTAGAACAATAACAGGATGTGGAAGACTAATTGCTTCCTCTGGTGAGTTGTCGCGTATTTAATCGATGTTGTGGTTCTCTGCTTCGATCTAGTGGACGATATAAAGAACTGCAGGAATCAGAAGTCAGCAGCACACACAACGGTTTATGGGGAGCAACAAAAAAAACACGTCGGGTGTAAATAAAAAAAAATGTAAAAAAAACAAAGATCTTGATTGGACAACTTTATTCTCTCAAGGACATTTATGAAGCCAGAAGCAAGATCTTTTATCATCATACACAATGTCAAAAACAATGAGTTTGTCTGATCACCACCACATCAACATAATGCACACACGGTACCAACAACACTCAGTGTAAGCCCGGCGTTCGATGCGCAGCCTGGTCGGCCCAACAAACGCTGGAGTTACATCTCGGTATAATAATAAAACCACCTCGAGGGCCTTTTGCTCTCTGTGCCGACATCAACTTGACAAACGGTTCAGAGGAATTATCCATTTACACAGATACACAGAGTCAGCGTCAACAGCTGTGCTGCAAAGCTACCAGCTAACCAAAAGAAAAAGAACGTGTAACTTTGATGATGGGTTTTTTGATGGCTTTGTTGTGACGTAGCAGAAGTCTAATTCTATCATTTGAATTGCACCTTAACCCAAAAATACAACTCGGCTTTACACGCACGCACACACACACATTCAGCTTCTTTAAGGAATGTTAGAAAACAATGGAAACGTGGATGTATAAGCATTCTAGGGTTTAAAAAATAAATAAAAGTGAGGCTCTATAGAACTTCTGCGCCTGCATCCATCAAATTGTTTATGTGATTGAATCAGTGTTTTCTTGGTGCCAGATCAGCTGATGTTACATAAAAGCAAAGTCAACCACCAGTCTTTACAAAAGGGTTATTTGTCAAGACCTCTGGTACTACAGAGTGGCTCCAAAATAAACTCCCGTTGCGGTCTAAGACGGTTTACTAGTAACTTGAGAAAGTGGATGAAATAGAGATGACTCGGGGGGGGAGTAAGCAAGAAGGTTATGGCTGCCAGATGTGTTCAGGAGGCTCGTTGGCATCAAACGTCGACATCTTGGCTCCATAAAGTTCTGAGGATCTGAGGAGCTGTTGGCTCCCAAAGAGCGAGTCCAACCGCGCAGTGACCTCACCGGTTCGGTTTCACGGCGGGAGTAAATAAATACTGTGTGGGGGCGGCGGCGTGGATTAAGGACCGCTTGCTTATTTTTACCAAGACAGTTTGAAAAAAAACAACAAAAAAAAAAAACAGGCTACAGTAATGAACACAATGACAAACACCCTGATGCTTCACGTGAAAAAAAGAAAAATCACTTGTCCATCTCTCTCTCACACACACACACACACACACAGAAATATTTTCAAATTCGCAGGTGTCATTGTTAAACTCATCATTTATCAAAGAGTGGCCAGAAATCGTACGGCATGGATTCAAACCCAACTGCTGTGAACCCGCCTGTGGGGTTTGGGAGCTGCGAGTCGTCGCCTCGAACACTCTGGCTGGTGTCAGGAAACAGACGGGAACTCCTGCGGCTCATGAACATTCTGCTCGCGCTACTTATCGCACTGAACTGAGGGGGTCTGATAATCCAGAAATGCGCACACAAAACACCGGCATCTTTTTTTTTTTGCCCGTTTACCTTATTCAACATTCATGTTTCCTCTCAGGAAAATACAGTTGGGTGCGCACGGTCCACTCTTGCATAAATGATGGGTTAAAAAAACAACACCAGGAAGATAGAGACATTTAAATAATTTACGATGTATTTACACAATAATCCGTCTTGTTTTCCAGCAGTGTCTTTTTTGTCCCATCTTCTAGTCACCCATCTTTACCTTAGATGTCTGCGGGAGGAAAACAGAACAGCTGTTAGCGCGATCTCTCACACATTGAACTCAACACGTGCAGCTTCCTTGAGAGAACTACGGCCAAATGCAACGGATACCCGTCTCCCCTGAGGAAGAAACACCAGTGGGGTGAGTGAATTGAAGCAGCCCGTCTCATTTCACCTGCAGAATGGCCACGATGACGCCGAAGAGGCCGATGGCGCTGCCGAAGATCTCCACGATGAGGATCTTCACGAAGAGGCTGCCGTTCTGGGCGTCCGCCAGCGCCGCGCCGCTGCCCACGATGCCGACGCAGATGCCGCAGAAGAGGTTGGAGAAGCCGACGGTCAGACCGGCTCCAAACATGGAGTAACCTGGCGGGACGGAAAAAACGAAACGAGTCACGAGAGAGAGAGACCACCCGCGTGCGACCGGTGTAACGTCAGGCAACAGAAATCTAATTTCCTGTGAGTTCTGGAAACCAGAAGCAGGAAGCAGCTGGTGCCATATTCAATGAGATATAATTTTTAATCTTAAAATATGAATTGCTTTAATATTACCATATTTGCATGCGTAATATTTTATGAGTGAATAGAGTATGCGTGTAAAATGTAAATATTCTGGAGTGAACTGCAAGTTTATTTCATAGCTTTATTGTGTTTTTCTTCCAATCTTCATAGTTTGTAGTTTTTTTGCAGTCTTTGCTTATATTTGTAGTGTTGCCATTTTTCAAGCATGTAACTTGCTATTAAGCCACATTAAAACATAATATTATTTAAGCTGGAAGCATCAAAGTGAGAGTTAGTACAACATGTGTCATAGTCTGATATCTGGTGCAGTTTGTGCTGCGGACATTTTTTGTAACGGATGTTTTCTTTTGTCCGCCATCGGTATCTTTACGCGAGCGTTCTCACCAGCTTGGTAGTTCCTCGCTCCGATGCTCTCAGGGGTCGTTCCAGAGAAGTTCTAGTGAAAGAAAAAGGGTATATTCAAAAGAAATGATTGAACTTCTCGTCACGATGTGTCCAATTATCTTTTATTGTTTCCATGCTCAGCGCTTACCTCGGCCATGTTGCTGATTACAATGGCCATGATGATCCCATAGATCGCCACAGCTTCACAGAAGATGATGCTGAAAGGGAGAAAATAAAAAAAACAAGCGTAATAAGATTCTCCCCTGAGAAATAATATATATATATATATATATATATCCCGCTGAGATTATCTAGTTTTAGGACGTAAAGGAAGACGGACGGAAGAGAAGAGAATAGAAATCGCAAAGTTACTTTTTAGTTCTCAAATGAGCTTACCTGACCAAATTCTTGGTTTTGATTCGTGGAGCCTTGACTCCACCGCCGAGGATGCTTGAGCCAGTGATGTAGATCCCCCTAGAAAACAAAAACAACTATCAGCAAAACGTTTATCACATCACAACAAAACTGGCAAGTGATCCGAAATGAACAACAAGGGGCACCAAAGAAAAGCAAGCAAACACCTCGTCTAAGTTTGCTTCTATAATGGCAACTTAGGTAAAAAAAAAAGTACTAAATGGACATTCCTGATTTAAGAGGAAACTAGCAGGTGGCTCGGTTACATAAAAACCCCAATAGAATACCAAGTAGTGGATGGAGAAGACGAGACAAGGTAGTTCCAACAAACAGGAGAGGATTGTTGACCCTGGTTTTAGACGCGTGTCCCAGACCAGAGGCCGAGTGTGCTTGGTGAATCAGCATCAAATCAGCTAGAATTAACTTTCTCTCCCACAGGCCGTTCAAGCTGAGGATTCATTTAGTGGCACTTTTTCACGTTTCGTTCAGTAAAAAAAACTTTGCATTTGCCCAAGTTGCTAATTCGAACATTTCCCGGTTCCACATTTACACATGATGAACACTGTGGAAAGAGGAAGTGATTCTCTGAGACACCGGTGTGGTTTGGTGCTCACCAGGCTGCGCCCACCACAGACAGAGAGATGGCCAAGCCGATGCCCAGATTGGCCCACATGAAAGGAGAGGTCTCCGTCAGGAACCTGCAGGCAAAAGAAGCACGAGCTGGTGAGCTACACTTTGACAAGGAAACGTGTTCAGGCACCAAAAACACAAACGCAGGAAACGTCCCTCAGTACGCGTTGGAACGCGTGTGAGCTACAATATGGTTGCCTGAAATGATCAATCACCCACTTGAAACAAGACTAAAAACACAGTAACGATGGCACCTGTAAGCTCGATGCCAGATATTAGCCTATTTCTGGTAGATCGAGCCCACTGTGTCAAAACAGGAGAGCTGAATACAGCCCCAACTGTATTTGGCCATGCTGATTAAGTTAAAAGAAGAGAAAACTCTTTAATGTTTGATGCCACACTGTTTATATGAACTAAGATGGGGTAAGCATAATTGTAAAAATACATTCAAGTAAATAAAATCTGGTTGGAAAAAGTCTCAGTGATTTACCTTCCTGTTCTTTTTTCACTGTTTTGCTGACAAAACAATGAACAAAGTGAAAAATGGCCATCCCATATTAGAAAGATTAAAAAAAACAAAACAGAATATGTCATTGACTATTATACATGACATTAGTCCATCTAAGTCTATATGGCTTGAGAAGTTTTATTTGCGCCATTGTTTGAGTCCATAATTAAACATCATATATCCCACAGATGCCCTAAACGCAGTGATGAACCTCCAGTCAAGTAGCTTTATTCCAAACCTGCTTACCATGCCACATCGAAGCGGAACCCGAGGTCAAATATGGTATAGCAGAGCCCTGTGGAAGCAAAAAGACAGGAAAGAAGTGTCAATCATATTTACAAGCATCTGTGTGTGTGTGTGTGTGTGTGTGTGTGTGTGTGTGTGTGTGTGTGTGTGTGTGTATGACAGAGCTTTAATACAGACATTTGCAGTGTGTTACTGCACTAATAATATCTTTCCCTGAACAGTGTCACATTTATGTGCTAAAGTCGTGGAAAGAAGTCGCAGCTTCGGTGTGATCGCTCACTCTCACGTGAAGGCTGCTGCAGTTCCTGTTTGAGAGCGTCTAAATAGGTTTCAGCTAACCGGCTAACGTTAGCTCAGCCAAGCGACATTACTTAAGCGTTTTTAAACCAAGATGCCTTCACATTCATCGTTGAACCAGCCTAAATAAATAATAAACTCTCATGTCAAACGTTTAAAACCTCGGAGGTGTTTTTCTGAAAGCGGTTAGCTATAAGCTAACGTGTTCTGACATTAACGTTAGCTGAACGTTAAGTCGCAATGAATGCTAAAGTTAGCGACTTCTAACGTGGGAGAAGGTGGGTTCCTTTCAAATGCGATAAATAATCAGCAGCATATCCTGGATTCTTGTTATAAAGTGCTAAAACCAATAAACAACCGCATCTGCAATATTGACCGATTGACAGGAGCTAGCAAACAAAATGGAACCAGCTGCAGAGCCTCTCGTCCCATAACATAGCCAGGTCCCAAATTCTGACTGTCAAACGCAATCGCGATGTGTCATGAAGAAAGAGCGACCGACTACACGGCCGTTGTTACATAAGTGTAAGAAATATACGATTTCATTCATTCATTCCAATATTCCCCATTTTTTACGGAAAAAATATAATCTTACCAACGATTAGTATGGTGCTCCAGAAGGCCAAAGTGACCCCCGTATACAAAATAGCGTGTCCGTTCATCATACACTCTAGCAGCATCTATCCGGACGTCTAACCTGCTGGATCGGCAAAATATCGTCGGCCCAAATTTAAAATTTGACGCCAGGGAACGCTAAGAAGACGAAATAATGCTGTTTTTAAGACAAGCTATCGGTCGATGGAAAGGCTGAGCATCGAAAGGAGAAGCTGGGTGATGTCAGGTGATCCAGCTTGACAAGCATGTGACCGGCGACAGGAAGGCTGCGTCCGGCTATGTTTTTTCTTCACCTTGGTTGAAGTCATTTTATTCTAAATGTTTATTTATTCTTATTATGTTACCACAGACGATCATTAAAACTTAGTTTGTGTTTAGAAATGTGCTACACACAGAATACACAAATGCGCAGCCGAGTCCTCGGAGACGCGAGTATCACAACCTGTGATACTAATGGAATGCAGCCCAGTGGGAGCTGCAGTGCGCGTCGCAGACGCTAGATGTCACTCTTGTAGTTTTAGTTAAATAACAACCACAGAACATAAAGAAGAGATTGATTTGTTCAGTACATCTCAGTTAAACCCCCACATTTTCATTAATGAGTAATTAGTATAACCTTGGCTGCTTGAATGTATGAATTCCCCTTTCTCATCCAATAAATAATTCCTGCTGAACAACAAAAGCTAATTACTTTTTTCTACCTGACATTTATGAATAGCCGACTGGGAAAATCGTTACCCACTAATAAGATGACTAAGAAAAAATGAAATGTCAGTTCTTTCAATTTTCTTAATACTTTATGATTTTATTATACTATATCACCATATCCACATAAATACACTCTATGCCAGTGAAATCCACCTTGCAACTTCAAACCACACAGTTGCATTCAGTCGATTTTACTTTGGAAAATATTTGAAATTGCACTGACAAGTTTACCTGGCTAACAGATTTATATACTTTAAGCTCTACTCCATCAGTGTAGAAGCACATTACCAAATCTGTGGAATACAACAGCTGTGGTCGAGTTTGATAGACCGTATAAGTCCTTATAAGAGTATAAGGGTCATTTTCATTAGTATTATTCTCCTGTGAAGCGTTCCTTCATTTAACTGCAAATGGAGAGCAAATTGATTGTTAGAATTTGTGTAATGTGGGCATTCAAGACAAAAAAAGTGGATCAAATGTTGTTAATACTTTTGAAGAAGTTTCACCCAAACATTTAAATGAATTATAATACGGTTAAAAAAAAGGTCTTTGCTGAGAGAATGACAAAGGAACCCAGAATTTCCTTCTTAATTTATTTCAACACAGGCATCCTGCCAGTGCTTCCTACCTCAAAGGAAAGTGTTCCCGCCCTCGTCTCATAATTGTTGGCAATCTCCAGGACTTTTCTCCTCTGAGACCACAGAAGTCACTCAGCCTTTAACGGCTGTTAGATTTCTCTTCAATTATTTCACATATCAGAAATGATTTATCGAGGACAATATGCCCTGGAAACCCTGAAGTCAATTTATTCACAGCAGCTCAAAAATAGATATATTCTGTCCTTCGTAATCCAAACCAAACGTCAGTCAGGAGGGATTATTGCTCCTGCTTTTTATTTATTTTTTATCTGTTTTCGACGCTGTCTTAAACCTGTAGAGGTGCACCAACACCAATTTGTGTGTATGTTTTGTTGCTCAGCTTTATGAGAAGGTCTTTTCATATTCCTTTGATGCCCTAGAAACGGCTTCATCCACAAATGCTGATGAAAATAAAACGTAATGCAAACCAGCATCTTAGTTATCGCTGTTATATCGCATTGACGTAATAAAGAATGTGGAAGCTTTCCATCTGTTCTTTTAATATATACATCTATGCATGTATTAATTGAATGAATAGTTGAACATGGGTGCTTGGATCCCGAAGGTGCCACTTGGACCATTGCTGATCTGCACGCTGTGATACAAAAGGAAGAGTAATCTTTCTTCATCATCACAGCTTTCATCAACAATGAGGTGTAACCAAGTGTGGGAAAGACTTTACAGCATCAATAAAAGATAAAAGAAATGTTTTCTCACTCGGTGTGAAGCAAACTGTGTGCAGATGGTTGTTCATACAATAATCATTTATAACTGGAGCCTTCTGTTTATCAGAAATAGAAAAACACAATTAAAGCTTCAAGCTGTGATCCCTCTCATTCCAAGTCCTCCGCTGATGAGGTGATGACTTTTTTGTAGCTCAACATTGACTTTAAAATCAACGTTAAGCCGATTGTCTCCTTTACTCTTCCCAAAGTGTTAGCAACTCATAGTTTTCTCTATGCAGCCTTCAGGTGTAATTAGTGTTCCATTGCTTGTTTCACTCGTTGATATTTGTACAACTGTTGATGTTATTTGGTATCTGACTCGCGGCTGTTGTTTTCTCACCGCTCTTAACTTGACTTGTCAGGCTGCATTTTGCACTTCAGGCGTCCTGGTTGCTGGAAAAGTAAAATAGTTAATTTTTTCCGCACATATTGAGCAATTTCCGTAATTTCCTTTCTTATTAAACCCAGAGCAGACAATCTGCCTGTTTGTCTGTGTCCTCCAGCTGTGCGCCATATCGGAGGATCCTGTGATGATCCACTAGGAAGGAACCAGCAAAGAAAACACATCCGCTGCATTTTCTGTAACTCCTTTGCGTCTCTGCCTTCTTAGGTTACTCGCACTTTGAGATCTGCTGATGAAGTGTGCGTTATAAATCAAATGTATTATTATTATTATTATATTAGCAAAAAACGGGTTTTACCGTACAGCAAAAGCTCAGCATTCTTCTCTCAGTAGACCACATTAAAGTATTACGCTGACTTCTTTTTACCATGAAAAGGTAACTCATTTTATCTATTCATGTTGTATTCAGGGTGAAATCACAGGTCGGCACACATTCAAATATTCATGTATTAGTCAAAAATCCCTTTGACTTAGTCAGACGAATCATTGAAAAAAGAGCCGGGTAACCGTGGCGACCTTTGTGCGCGCTTGTCTTTCAACTGTTTGACATTTTCTTCTGGGATTCATTGATCCGCTCCGGTTTGGTTTGTCCTCTTCTTTCTCCACTTCTTTCAGACACGCTTCCCTATAAATACTTGAACTTCAAATAAAGGTCAATGGGGAAACTGTTTCCCATAAAGGGATCGATTTCAAAAGCTATGGAAGAAATCCATAAAGAAGCTTATAGCGAGGTCCGAACGGAGCACAGACCCCTCCAAGGTGCGTCACCCTGCTGTAGAGAAAAGGCCGTTGGGTTGTTGCTGCGCTGGTCTGGTGGTGGAAACTTAAAATAACTCTATTGTTTTTAGCAGTAGCTTCGTTCCTGGCATTAATTAGGGCTGTTGGTGACAAGTGTCTCAATGAGACGCCTCATTGTCATCACTGCGACTCTCCCGCCTTCGGCTTATTGTGGTAAAGTTTTCTTGCTGAACGCAACATGTTATAATAATTAACACGTGTTTGCTCAAAGTTTATTTTCTGCACTAATCCAAAACTCCATGTTGAAATCCCATTGTTGTTGTTTTTTACAGAACTTGGGGTCATGCTAACTTTCTATAGAAATACTTTGTCCCTGCAGCACTCTGCATCATAGGTAATGGCTTCCCCTCACTAGGGACAAAAGAAAGATGAATGGATGCACGTCACCACCTGAAAGCATCCAGCTGTCCTGTGAATGATTATGCTTTACTGAACATTACCAATGTCAAAGCTGAACCCATCGGCACCCATTGTAATGCATGCAGCTTAATACACATTTTATTGCGTTAAATGATACATTTTCATTCAAAGCACATTTCCTCTTATCAACGGCTCCAAGGCCTCAGTGTCAATGAATGTGTTTACATGCACACAGTATTCGGTTAAGCAACTCAAAACCAAGCCTTTTTTATTATTATGTCGGGCCGTTCAGATGAATGTTTATGCCCATTTAACTAACAGGAACAGAAATGTAATGAGTATAAAACACTCAGGTATTCTTTGGGATGAAGTTCCTGGATGTATAACTGCACCCGGGTCACGTGACCATCCTATCTCAGCTACACCTTTTTAAATTCACGTTGCAGCAACAACAAACATAGTGTGTGCATTTTTTTGCCTTCTCCCCGCGTTGTTTCCAGGAACCCGTCCCCTCTCCAGAGATACTGACCGATGCACCAGTTAATACAACAGACAAGGCGGTGAGCATAATGTTCCATTTAAAATCATCAAGCCGAAGCCCCGTTGAGAGCGTACAAGCCCCCGCAGCAACCTGCTCAAGCAGCACGATTGACTGCGATTATTCTGAAACGTCCTTTCCTTCCGTAGTAGACAAATGAATGAACACATGTTTTTTGTAATACAATTAGTCAAAACGTTCTCCTCCTTAGATTGTGGAGGTCTGTGTGTATTTTCTGACATGCAGGGTTTTGAGGTGTCAGGACTATAGTTTGCTTCTCTGTGCAGAGATTTGTCGCATGCATGCAAAGCGCACAACGAGGCTCTAAATGAGGACGCACACTTTCATTCAAACCTGTTGTGTGCACATAGATTTTCTCTTTGCCGTTCTGCACTTGAATCATCACCCATTGACATCGGCCGGTTATAATTGTGTGTGCTGATGCCACAGTTAATGCGTCCGTGCACTTACTTCCGCACAAACGAACCATTTTAACAAAAGTACATTGAGCCTCCAATAACAGGCCGGAACAAGCAGCTAGTTATGGTTCTGCATTTGTTGCGGGCTGCTTACATAAGCTTGTGTTATATTATCAGAACGTCCTGGCTCCTCCAAGAACAACACTCGACAGAATTAAAGAATCTTGTTCTTAGATCATTTATGAGCATTTAAGAACTTGTATGTGTTGATTCTACGCTGATATAATATAATCCAAATCCTAATATTACGCCGTATATTGAAGAATAGATTGTAAGATGTGTTTTAAAGCGTTATCCAACGTGTTGTAATAGACTGAATATCCTTCAAAACAGCGTTTAACGCTGTTATGAAAGTCTGATCCTTTCTCACCTTTGGGTATAACGCACCAATACTTAATAATGAACAACCTTCCGTAAAGTATGATGTGCCAACACTTTGATGGCGTAATCAAGCGTGCGCGCCCTGCGGCTCGGCTGTTCGTCACCCAGCTGAGTGCTGCTGTTTTGGAACAGCAGGCGGAATCTGACCGCATTGATCCGTCCGTGCTGCTGTTTGTGCGATTGCTGCGTATGTAAATCAACGCGA